GAAATTGGTAATTTGGCCAATTTAACACAAATTTCAAAATATTCCAATTTCAAAATAGGGTCCAGAATAAACAATGTAGGTATTCCTGACACTAAACTAACATTTCCTCTGTTCATTAGTTACGTTTTGAGGCTTTACAAATGAATTCCATTTTGATTTTTTATTCACATAAGGAATTTTTATTCACACCAAAAAATAGAAGATTTACTGTTATGCAATATTGTAATAAATGTATGAATATCATCAACACATTTGTGAATGTATATTAGACCCACCAGCTGGCGTGTATTAGACGTGTGAGGTCGCTTGTTTACTCTTGAACATCGGCAAAAATTTAACATTTCCGCTGCTTTGAGCTCAGTTTCAAGCCATTTCCAGTGCTAAAATTAATCAAAATCATATCTATTTCTATAATATGTCTTCCATTCTATCAAATGAGACCATGAAATTGCAAATACAACTATAAAAAACATACGAAAAAACACTGCAAAGTCGCTGTTTTAATCGAAAATCATGGTCTCAGTTTTTTTCTCTCATTATGCACAGTGTGCTGCAGGATTTGTTTTATGTGGTGCACACATACCACATAGATGTATTCTCTCATATCTAGGCCCAAATGTACCACTCACAGTTTATCAGAGTGAGCTGAGCTCATGACATAGATCTACGGTTTGGACCCTGAACGTAAAGCCTTAGATCTACGGGACGGACCCTGAAAGGGTTAATACCACCCTCTACCACCCTCTACCACCATCACTACCACCATCACTACCACCATCACTACCACCATCACTACCACCATCACTACCACCATCACTACCACCATCACTACCACCATCACTACCACCATCACTACCACACTCTATCACCATCACAACCATCCTCTACCTCCATCATAACCACTATCACCATCACTACCATCCTCTACCACCATCACAACCACTACCACCCTCTACCACCATCACAACCACTACCACCCTTCACCACCATCACCACCACCCTCTACCACCATCACAACCACTACCACTTATCACCCTCTACCACTATCACTACACCACCACTTTCGTATTTTTCTACAGTCTTTTTCTTTAATTCTATCATGTTTGTCACCTTCTTTACCAGAGGGGTGGCACTAGCTTTCTTTGGGCCCATGATGGCTTATTTAGTAGTTGCAAGCAATAAAATGAATGGAATATTATGAAAAGTATTGTATGAATGCATAGGATCATGCTCACTTGCTGATAAACAATGGCACACTGACTGTGGTCGCATCGGGGCTACTTGTACATGTCTGGGATGAACGACTATTACTGAGGTAAATGATGATCACCGAGCCAACATTTTGACAAAAAACATCATGATTACCGAATATTATGAAATCCGATGACTACCATATCCTGGGGTCCACTGTATTTTTTGGACCTTTTATTTATATGGAATTTCTAAACAGGTTGATTCATACACTTGGTACAGTATATCAAAGAGAGAGAGAGAGATTTTGATTGTAATGTATCCATGTGTTCTGCTGCAGCTCTCCAGGAAAAGTTTAAGCTCTACATTATTGTTTGTACTGAGTGTCCTATGTATGGTAAGTTTGTATATTTTGAATGTTAAGTAAATTTAAACTTTTGAATAGGAAGGGTGTTGCTTGGATGAATGATTATTCTAAGAGCAGGTTTCTGCTGAATAACAATGGGTTTAAGGTAATTTGCTGTTGTTGATCTCGGTGAACAAATACCATAAGTGTTGTAGGGATAGATTGGAGGCACATAAGTGTTTTTTTTTCTCTCAAATTTTCCTACAAATGTTATGGTTTTGTGCACCACTTTCAAGTATATTAATCACCAGCTTACAGCTACAGTATATCAACCCGGGGAAAAATAGTGGGTTGTATTTGTGTCTGAGAAAATGCAGATAATGGTTTCTAGACAGCATATTGTTAACTCAGGAACTGTGGCAGTAATGAATGAAAGTGCTGGAGGCTTGGGATGAGATGGATATTTAAAGAGTGAAATTTAATTTCAAAATGTCTATGTGGTAAATCTTACAAGAAAGGCAGCCTCTTAACAACACTAAGGTATATCATATCTGCTTGATAGTAGAGGTGTCAAACTTTATACTAGTCACAAGTGCACCTTAAGTATGCAGCACTTTCTTTTATTGCCTGTCCCAATCTTATCTGCCACTTCTGGACAGAATAGAGAACCATGCAAGGCAACTAACTTATCATTCATCTGGGTTTAGTTTTGTTGGATTTATCATCTGAGCAAAGTCTTCAGCATCAGAGATATATGGGTGGCCCTAGTGTCATGTTCAAAGCTACTAATGTTATCAAAGTGTCACACTTGGCCTCACTTTGCAGTCAGCAAGAAGACATTTTCTATACCACAAGATGAATAGCAAACACTGGTTGTTCATTCTCTAAAACATCACTTCATCTGTGAACATTTCTTTCTAGAATAACTTAGAGTTGAGAACATGTTCATGCAGCATTCAAACATTAATAAGGTAATGTTAGCCAACAAAATAAAATCTTTGACCCATAACTGGTCACGGCTTCATCCTGTTTCCTGTTTGTATCTTCAGTAAATATAAAAGTTCCATTATTTATATGTTGTACATAATTGTGTTAATAAATCACTTCTGACTCACGAAATCGTAATGACACGATTGGTATGGTTTAAATCACTTCTGGTTGTGAGGAAGATTGAAATTGCCTCATTCCAGCATAGATATACAGTGGTACCTCGGGATACGAACTTAATTCATTCCAGAAGGCTGTTCGGGTGCCGATATCAAACAAATTTGTTCCCATAAGGAATAATGTAAATTAGATTAACCTGTTTCAGACCCCCAAAAATACACTTACAAAAGCATTTACATAAATATGCTTACAAAACTATTTGACTTTTGAGCTGTTCATATCCCGAGGTACCACTGTATTAACAACACATTTATATTTAAATTTGCCTCTTAATGTTGTAAATTACGCATTGTACTTGAAATATTTAAAGGTATATACAGCCTCTCCTCACTTAACCCTCTGAGGGTCGACAGGCCCTCTCTGAGACTAGTTCTCAGGGTCGGCCAAATTTTAAAAAAAAAAATAATTTTTTCTCATGAAAAGATAGAGAATCTTTTCCCGATCATAATGACACCAAAAGTATGAAATTTGATGGAAAACTTACGGAATTATGCTCTCGCGAAGTTAGCGGTCTCGGCGATGTTTACGCATCGGCGATTTTGCCCACTTTGAGCCCCATTTTCGGCCAATTTCACTGTACTAGTCGACAAAAAACATGAATATTTCGCTAGAACTCCATTTTTTTCTATCGAATGAGTGCAAGAAACCACCCATTTACCGAATTCAACTATCCAGTACAGTGGTCAGAATTTAGCAATTTTGCCAATTTCACACAAATTTCAAAAGAGGCCAATTTCCAAATAGGGTCCAGAATAAACAAGAAAGACATTCCTGGCACTAAAATAACATTTCCTCTATTCATTAGTCACGTCCCCACGCCCCTCTTACATTCTTTTGCTTTCCACTTTGAAATTTTATTCTCACAAAAAATAGAAGATTTACTGTTATGCAGATTACTGCATTAGTGTAAAAAATGGTATAAATAATATTGGCACACTTGCGAAACAATATTAGACTCACCAAACGTGTATTGGACGCTTGGCATGATTTGTTTACTTTTGAACATTGGCAAAAATTGAACATTTCTGCTACTTTGAGCTCAATTTTAAGGTATTTTTCATTGTAAAACCAGTCAAAATCATCTCAATTTCTGTAATATGTCTTCCATTTTATAAAATGAGACCAGGAAAACTAGAATACAACAAATACCATACGAAAATACAGTGCAAAGTCGCTGTTTTATTCCAAAAAAACGGTCAAAGTTTTTTTTTCTCATGTACTGTGTGCTGCAGGATTTTTTTTTATACTGTGCACACTGACCACATAGACCCATTCTTTCATATGTAGGCCTACCAGCTTTCTCCCACTAGATTTGAGGGCGCTAGAATTTAGGCGTACTAGTACGTCAAAAACCCTGAGTCGTAAGCTGTACTAGTACAGCCGAAACCCTCAAAGGGTTAACAATGGAGTTCTGTTCCTAAGACCACGTTGTTAAACGAATTCATCACTAAGGAGCATACTATAATGGTAGAGTGTTTGTGTCAGCCATCTTTGATATTGTTTTAATGTCACCTTTGCACCATTAATAACATTTCTGGTATATTTTTAAATGTTTATACAGTAGTGTACTGTATATTGAAATAAACAGAATAGAGGACATCAGCTCTAATACACATTATTTAGGTATGAATACTGGTCAGAGAATCCGTCGTAAGCTCGAGGCATTGGTAAACGAGTACGTCGCTAAGTGAGGAAAGGCTGTATTCATTACTGGAAGAAATAAAACTATGTTTTTCTCCATATTAAGCTTTACTTTCTTCTTTTAAGGAAGTGTGTTGACTCTGGTGAAGGAACCTTGATAACCCAAGAAAACTAAATTATATGGATATTTTTTTATTGGTGTTCTTAGGTTTTTCCCAGGATGTGAAGCACAGCAGTCAACTGACCTTACTGCTAGGTGAACAGGAGCAGCACGTTTAGAGAGATTTACTGGTTTATTCCACTTCTCCCAGGGTTAAACCTGAGTTTTTCAGTTATAAGCCAACTGCTCTACCACAGAGCTGTGAGATGGGTCATTCATGCATTAGAGTGCAACAAGAAAAGTCAGGATCTACGAATTGATACTTTGGAATGACTTTTTTTCTTGTAATCAACCAATATATTCTCTCTATGATACAGTGCCTCTTCTTTGTTAGATACTGTACTCTTTTACCAAATGGGGTACCTGTATTCTCCTTGATATCCTCCCTTATTTTCCAATTTTTAGTTGATCACTTGCACATTATATATTTTTTCCCTAATCTAGCAACAAGCAGTTTGCCCACCCTTTATTTTCCTGTCTTTCTATACAACACAGGAGTGTTGAGGTTGAGACCAACAGTGTTTAGCTTACGTGCGATGTCATCCATACCAGGCAGTGACTATACCTACAAAGCATTGGCAGTTTCTGTCCCTCGAGATCACGTCTACCATGTCCAACTCAATCGACCAGATAAACTTAATGCTCTGAATAAAACTTTATGGAGGTAAGCCTCACTCTGAATAAATTGTTGTAGTTACTGTAAAACATATACATACGAGAGGTCTCCAGCTTAAAAAGTCTTAGATTACATCACATCCATACTTATAAACAAGGCAATTAAGGATAGTTGTAGTTTTACAACTACCGAACCACAGTATAAGCACGTAAACATCTTTGTAGTACAAACAACATTCATAAATTGAAACAGCAACTCCAGTATGCTGGAGGACCACTTGAATTTACAGTAAACCCTTGATATTGTGGACCTTGATATAACAAAATTAAAATTATTTGCAAAAATCCACTAGTTAAATTCTTTCTTTCAACACACCGGCTGTATCCCACCGAGGCGGGGTGGCCCAAAAGGAAAAAACGAAAGTTTCTCCTTTTGCATTTAGTAATATATACAGGAGAAGAACTTACTAGCCCCTTGCTCCCGGCATTTTAGTCGCCTCTTACAATACGCATGGCTTACGGAGGAAGAATTCTGTTCCATTTGCCCATGGAGATAAGAGGAAATAGACAAGAATAAGAACTAGAAAGAAAATAGAAGAAAACCCAGAGGGGTGTGTATATATGTGCTTGTACATATATGTGTAGTGTGACCTAAGTGTAAGTAGAAGTAGCAAGACATACCTGAAATCTTGCATGTTCATGAGACAGAAAAAAGGACACCAGCAATCCTACCATCATGTAAAACAATTACAGGTTTTCATTTTACACTCACTTGGCAGGACGGTAGTACCTCCCTGGGCGGTTGCTGTTTACCAACCTACTACCTAGAACTAGTTATATTGTTCTTTAAATATTATTCTTTTTTCAATGTACTGTTCACACAATGTAAATTGTGTGTCCAGTACTATAGTAGGTTTAAAGTAAAGTACTCTAGTGATTTTTTTTTATTAACATAATTCTGATTTAACCCTTTCAGGGTCCAGAGGCCAAATTTCTAAGTGCGCACCAGAGTCCAAGAATTTAAAAAAAAAAATTTTGTTATTTTTCTTATGAAATGGTAGAGAATCTTTTTCTGAAGGTAATAAAACAAAAAGTACGAAATTTGATGGAAAATTGACGAAATTATGCTCTCGCGAATTTTGATGTGTCAGCGATATTTATGAATCAGCAATTTTGCCAACTTTTACTCCCATTTTAGGCCAATTACATTATTCCAGTCGACCAAATTCTTAGCTATTTCACTAGTGTATTACTTCTATTCTATTGATTGAGCGCAAGAAATCGCCAAGTCAACTATTTCAACTACAAAATAATGTGATCGGAAATTGGTAATTTGGCCAATTTAACACTAAACTAACATTTCCTCTGTTCATTAGTTATGTTTTGAGGCTTTACAAATGAATTCCATTTTGATTTTTTATTCACATAATGAATTTTTATTCAAACCAAAAAATAGAAGATTTACTGTTATGCAATATTGTAATAATTGTATAAATATCATCACCACATTTGTGAATGTATATTAGACCCATCAGCTAGCGTGTATTAGACGTGTGAGGTCATTTGTTTGCTCTTGAACATCGGCAAAAATTTAACATTTCTGCTACTTTGAGCTCAGTTTCAAGCCATTTCCAGTGCTAAAACCAATCAAAATTATCTCTATTTCTGTAACATGTCTTTCATTCTATCAATTGAGACCAAGAAATCACAAATACAACTATAAAAAACATAGGAAAAAACACTGCAAAGTCGCTGTTTTAATCGAAAATCACGGTCTCAGTTTTTTCTCTCATTATACACTGTGTGCTTCAGGATTTGTTTTATGTGGTGCACACATACCACACAGATGTATTTCATATCTAGGCCCAAATTTACCACTCACAGCTTATCAGAGTGAGCTGAACTCATTGCTTAGATCTACGGTTTGTATCCTGAACGTAAAGCCGTAGATCTATGGCACGGACCTTGAAAGGGTTAATTGGCACTTGGACATTCTATTAGTCCAATATAACTATGGTTTATTACACAATGGATCTTTAATTTAACCCTTTGACTGTTTTGGTCGTGTATATATACGTCTTACAAGACAGTGTTCGGACGTACATATACTCAATAATTCTAGCGGCTTCAAATCAAGCAGGAGAAAGCTGGTAGGCCCACATGTGAGAGAATGGATCTGTGTGGTGAGTGTGCACCACATAAAAAAAAATCCTGCAGCACGCAGTGCATAATGAGAAAAAAAACTGACCGTTTTAGGGATAAAAATGCTGACTTTGAGGTGTATTTTTGTATAGTATTTATCGGTGTATTCTCATTTTCATGGTCTCGTGTGATAAAATGGAAAACATATTGCAGAAATAGAGATGATTTTGATTAGTTTCATGATGAAAACGACCTTGAAATTGAGCTCAAAGTAGCGGCAATGTTCGATTTTTACCAATGTTCAAGAGTAAGTAAATAACACCACACGTCCAATACACGTCAACTGGGGAGTCTAATATTCTTTCACTAGTGCACTAATATTATTTATACCACTTTTACAATAATGCAGTAGTCTGCATAACAGTAAATTTTGTATTTTTTGTATGAAGAAAAAATCAAAATAGAAAGCAATAGTAATATAAGAGGGGCCCAGAAACGTGTGACTAATGAAGAGGATATGTTATTTTAGTTCCAAGAATGTCTACATTGTTTATTCTGGACCCTATTTTGAAATTGGCATCTTTTTTAATTTGCGTGAAATTGGCCAAATTGCCAAGTTCTGACCAGTTTATTGGGTAGTTCAAATTGGTAAATGGGCAGTTTCTTGTACTCAATTGATAGAAAAAATGGAGTTCTAAAGAAATAGCTATGAGTTTGGTCAACTGGAACAACAGAATTGGCCAAAAACAGGGCTCAAAGTCGGTGAAATCGCTGATGCGTATTTGTCGCCGAGACTTCCAACTTCGTGGGAGCATAATTCTGTGAGTTTTTTACCAGATTTCGTACTTTTGGTGTCATTACCATCGGGAAAAGATTTTCTATCATTTCATAAGAAAAATAATTTTTTTCTTTTTTTTCCAAAAATTTTGTGACATAGAATGACAGTTACAGAAAGGGGCTTGCGACAGTCAAAGGGTTAACAGATTAATAAGGAGGGATCACATATGAACAAGGAGGCTTTAGGAAGGGTAGGGGATGTGTAGACCAAGTTCTTATATTGAAGCCTATAAGTGAACAGTTTTAGATGAGGTTAAAAAAGTTTTTGTTGCATTTCTGGATTTAGAAAAGACAAATGATAAGGTGGATAGGAAAGCAACGTGCAGATGTTGCAAGAGTATGGAGTAGGTGGCAACTTAAAGCAGATAGTTTTCATAAGAATATGTAGTGAGGGAGATTATTTTCCAGTAAAAGTAGGCCTTAAATAGGAATACATGGTTGTTTAATATATTTATAGATGGGGTTGTAAGAGAAGTGAATTCAGGTGTGTTGGGGAGAGGAGTAGAATTGGAAGATAAAGAATCAAACACAAAGTGGAAGTTGTCACAGTTGCTTTATGCTGATGACACTGTGCTTTTGGGAGATTCTGAAGAGAAGTTGCAGAAATTGATATATGAATTTGGGAGAGTATGTAGAAAAAGGAAATTTAAAGAGAACTTTGGAAAAAGCAAGGTGATGAGGGTAGCAAAAAATTTAGGTAATGAAAGATTGGATATCAAATTGGAGGGACAAAAAACATATCCATGGAGGCAAAGAGGGAAATGCATGAGAGAATAGTGGTACCAACTCTCTCTTATATGGGTGTGACACATGGGTTGTGGATGCTGCAGCAAGGAGAAGGCTAGAGGCAGTGGAGATGTTGTGTCTGAGGGCAGTGTGTGGTGTGAAGCTTGGAGATTAGAAGGAGTTGCAGGGTTTCTAAAAGTATCCAGAGGGCTGAAGAAGGGTTATTAAGGTGGCTCAGACATTCAAAGAGAGTGGACCAAAATAGGATGAATTGTCACTAATTAATGATGAATAGGAAAGGTTGGAAGGAGGGGCTTCAAGAAGGTTTTGTGTGTTAGGGCTTAGACATTCAGCAAGCATTTGTGAGCATGTTAGGAATGGAGAAAAGTGATTTTTATAATGAAGTGCTGTTGGAGTGTGAACAAGGTAACATTTATGAAGGGATTCAGGAAAACCAGTTAGCTGGATTTGAGTTCTAAACATGAGAAATAGAGTGCCTGTACTCTGAAGGAGGGGTGGGGATATTTGCCGTTTTTGATCTGTAGTATTGGTGGCCCTCTGGCAAGACAGTGATGGAGTGAGTGATGGTGAAAGTGTTTTTTTTTTTTCTTGGGTCACCCTAGGGGCCTTAGTGGGACATGGCTGGTTTGTTGAAAAAAGAAGTCCATTAAAGCAGAGTGCTAAATCTTTATGAATAAGTTTTTTCCATCATGGTAACAATCACAAACTCTTCTGGGTTTAACTGATTTTGTTAAATCCAAAAGTAAATTCTCAGTGGACCTCAACAATAACTATTAATTTTGGATTTAATGCATATTATCTGTTCAATCCAGAATTGTCCCTAACAGTAATGGAAAGTTCTGATTTAAGAGATTTTTGTCTGTTAAATCATAAACCAATTTACCCAGTGGATTGTAACATTAATTAAAAGACAATGCTGTATTATTTAGCAAACTTTGTTCTTGGTTTAGGAATCTAGTCTGGCCACAGATTTTGTCCATTAAATCAAGGTTTAACTGTATTTTGTAATTTTTTCACATTTGCTACTTGTTATTTTCCTACTTTCAATGGCTCTTTTTAGTCATAGTTTCTTGACTAAGTCTACAGGATCATACAGGCTTACACTAGCTTTGGGAAGTTTTCCATAATGCGAATTCATTTTTGTGCAGTGAGTCCATTTCTACCAGTAATTCATTCTTATACAATCACTTAACCTCAACCTTAACCTCAGACAGCAACCACCCAGGGAAGTACTACCGTCCTGCCAGATGACTGTGAAACAGAAACCTGTAACTGTTTTGCATGATGGTAGGATTGCTGGTTTCTTTTTCTGTCTCATAAACA